AATTTGAGATATGCCGTCTCTTCTTCACTACGTAAACTAATATTTTAAAACCAAAGAAATGGCCACTCTTTACTAAAATATAAATATAATTCTAAAATATGAGTATAATTTATTGCAAAATGAATAATTCCTTTATTTTTTTCATTTCAATCCATGAATTATAAGCTGAGCTAGTATGAGACTATACTGATATTTAGTGTTAATGTTTTCTGAACTATAACTTACTTGAATTGCAGGGGATATAACGACAATCAGTAGACTGGATTACGAAGATGTACAAGAATACACTTTCAATGGTATTTGACATTTCACTTTATTACATTACGAACAAAGTCGTTGTGGGATAGGTGCTTTTTTGTCACGGTGGTCGGTATACCAAAAAAACACGCACATTTCTTTGACAGACTGACAAACAATACCGTATTGGAACCATACTTACGATGTCGGTGCTCTACAAATATAAAGCATATAATTATTATTTGAACTTTGCTGAAACAGAGAAACGCAAGTGAAAAGAGTGGAAAATATAAATTATAATTCACCCACCTATTTTCAAAAGCTTATGATTAAAATTAAAATTCAACCAAAAAAAAATAAGCCGGGCTTGCATTGGAAAACGTAAATTACAATCCTGTGTGGTACAAGAACTCACGTTTTCACGTTCGCATCACTAAAACAAACGACATTGTCAAGTAACCTTTGATCAAATTTATTAAAAGGGTCTAAACTATTCCAGTGTAGGATGTTTTATACTAAATTAGGTTTATGTTTAGAGTCATTATAGCTAAAAAAACCACCATCAGTGCTTTTATTTATCGGACCATGTCTCGTCCCAAGGCGTTGTACAATTATTGCCGCCTAAGTGGTTTTCACAGCGACATTATTTTTTCTAAATTATTAAATAATACTGTATTATAATTACTATGAAGATACCTCAAAGTATGAACGAAGACAGTACAGCGAAATTATTGACCGACGCGCAGCGGAGGTCGTTGCGACGGCATACTGTCTGAGTGCATACTTTGACGTATCCTCGTAATAACCTTATTATTATACATCTTTCCATACCAAGGATAAATAAAGGGAATGCCGAAATCAAAAAAGTTTCGAACAGAATCAGCGAACTTCTTTGTGTGGAGTCGGGTCAAACCCTGGTGGCAGCCGTGTTTGTTTTTATTACTAGAGGGCGTTTACGCGCGTAATCATTCCATATTCGGAATTCGCATTTCCTTATATGGTAGGATTAGAATACCCCGTAAAATACCGCAATACGACACGCTGTAACTTATGGCGTTATGGTGACAGATGTATAATGATATATTATATGTACAATCTTGATAATTACGCAAATTGGCCGGAAACGGTAATTGATTCATTCTACCAAGGTTAGTTTTATTTTTTCAGTATGCTGCATTAGCGATAGTATTCACGATATGAAAATTGTGCTGTGTGTGAGCGTCGAACAACCCAGCATGAATACCTGAAATCGCGGCCTCGCTATCCCGGGGA